AAAGTTGATGCAGATTTGGTCATTGGCCAAGCAACGAATTCTTTGATTTCAATCCTCAAGCCATAGGAGCAGCACTAATTTTACGCTTCTGTGCGAAATTACTTCATTACAGCTTGCGACTACATTCATCTCAGAGTTTCCTCTAGAAGATGCAGCTCTGATAAATGCTGAAGTTGCTAGGCTAAAGATGATAGATTCCAAGTCTTTCAGAAATGTTCTCTTTTTGTGGAGAAGTTTCCAGCCATGTTGCCCCAACGGGTGCAAGAGAGTCGTATCGAAACTCTCGACGCTCTAGAAATGGAGTTCAGAAAGCTTCAGGCTTCCACCATCCCTACAGACATATTGAATGAAGAAAGGGCAGACGCCCAGTGGGCAGCTATATTGCAACTGAAAGGCCCAGACGAGTTGCTGAAGTTCAGTCAGATCGCAGAAATGATGCTCGCCCTACTCTCGATACCACATAGCAACGCAGAGTGCGAGCGGCAATTTAGTATCGTAAAAAAAGACTAGGACACGATTCTGCTCGTCCATGTCGGATAATACACTCACAAACGTACTTCTCGCAAAATGTCAGAGAAACTGATTTTGTTATGGGCAGATATATACTGATTATTTTCTGAAAAAGGCGAAATCAGCTGCAACAAAAGCCTTGCAAGAAGTGAGGCCTTGATTTTCATGTTACTGTGGTCATTTGGAAATCTCACAATAAAATTGTCTCCTTGAAAAACATAAACAGTGTCACTTTAAGGGTGAAGCAATTAATGCGTTAGCAACAAATTTGATTGCGAGGTAACACTAGCAGCCGGCTTTTATTTATTTTGAGCGAAGTTGTTTTCTTACTGTCCATTTCAATGCGAATTAAAGGAGCACAGACTAAAATTTTACATCTTGATTTCTCTGTTCCAATAATTTAGTAGCTTACAGTGCATCCACCCCAGCGCGCAACTGTTTCGGAAAGGGCCTAGTGTTTTCTTGTAAACATAGCCCGCATGTGAGCTCGTAAACCGCGGTCGTAATCATTTTCAACGAAGACTCCTAGGGCGCCGCCATAATCCTCTCGAGGCTGTTCTTGTGTGACCCCCGAAAATGTACTGCCAAGCCTTTGACTGCAGCTTTTGTACCCACGATCAGCTACCCAGAAAGGAGGCGATCCTTCCCTCTGTTGGAAAAGAGCTCCAATGGAATATTGTAAGTAGAGGCGTGACTCCCCCCATTGAAAATGAATTGCCGGCGCACATCAGCTATTGTGGCAGTGTTGTACTTCCGCGCAAGTACACACACACACACACAAAAAGGTGCGCTCTGTTTACTGTAGGAGAGAGTGCTTGCGAAAAATTTGGCGCCAGCACTCGTGATGCAGGAGGCTGTTGTTTGATTTCGTGACGTGAGGTGGGACGTTTCTCGTACAGGTGCGCACGCAATTAAAAAATTGATCCTTGATGTGTTGTAGGTTATATCAGCTGTTAATGTTTCGACGTGATGCGTTTGTGTACACTCAAATCTATCCCACAAGCGCGTTCGCCAGCGCTCACGATCATCCCAGTCTCAACGGCGCCCATTATGGTTCCTTGCCTGCCGAAGTATAACTCGTAAGCAAGCGATGACAGGCCTCGCACGCGGAGCGGTGTTATCGCATGTGCCCTTCGCACGACGGTGACGACCGGGTCGTTTCATCTCTGCTTCAGCCGCATTCGTCCCTATCGCTAGCACGCTTTTTTTCGCACGTGAAACAGACTATACGTAAGCAATGTTATCGGTTTGGATTCTGTACAAATCAGCGGCAACCGCAAAATTCCGCTCACGCCAACAGTATGTGCCCCCCCCCCCCCGTTGAGTAGATCTCCCAGATTCCGTTTCTTCAAACTTGGCAGGTATGCCTTAATTCAAACCATATTCCGAAAAAACACCAAATCAGCTATACAAGCTCTAACAAAAAAAATGACAAAAACATTCCCCATCATAATGTCTGTGCACCACGACACCGCTGCCGGTCGACACTGCTTCACTGTCCGGCTCGACGACTTCACCTCAGTACCGGTCCCGCAACAGCAATGTTGCCGTCGGCGCGATGATCCGTCACTCGCGCCGACACGTCTTCCCGTTGCGACCAGCACTCACAAGGGCGTTGAACTGCAGGCAGCTGCGCAGGTCCCAGGCATGTCCATCTCCCGACCTCACGACCGCATTCCTGGCCAGTAACGCTGACGATGCGCAGAAGACAGCCGGCCGTGGATGACATCCCTCCCGCTGAATACATCAACAGAAAACAAAAAAACTCGAAAGAAAACAATCGAGCAGGTCCTAGGGAAGGGAGCTTCAGGCTTTTCGGCCACGTGGTACGATGGTCAGTACGGCTAGCTAAGACATCGGCGGCGGCAGAGACGCCCATCAAAATAAATAAAAATCACTTTTTTGCTAACTCGTGCATCACAAGATAAAAAAAAAAGTGAGGGAAGCGAAGCGCAACACCTCAACGCCACGATCCACCTAGTTGTGCCATGTGCCACAGGCTCGACAACAACCGGCATCCACCCAGCACCCAGCCTAGACGCAGAAGAGGCAGTCGCAAGGAGACATCCACTCTGTAAGGTAGCCCTATCGCTCGCTGCACACAGCAGCTTACCGAGCGATCGGCGTCCACCGCCTCGGGACGGTGTCGCCACGCCCCGGCGTCGAGCCGCACTACCAGACAGCAACAAAGCCCGGCTCCTTGAAACCAAAGAGATAGAAGCTATTTACAGAAAATCGGACCGCCCACAATGTTTCTGTACTCACTTGCTTCGGGCCTGGCGTACAATCCACATGCTCTAAGCCTTGCTCATCCCAGGATGCAGACCGCATGGCTCTTGTCCCCAACTGAACGTTCTTAAAACCGACAACAAAAAAACCACTTGCGAGCAAAAAAAAAAAAAAAAAACTCGGCGTGCCAACAAGTTCAAACAAGTCACAAACCGATCCCCTCACTCTCAACAAAGCACATTGCTGACGCTAGCAAAGAAGTCCCCCTAGGCCTACTCTACTTCGGTTCTAATAAAAGCTTGCACCAAACGACGATAGCTGTCGTCTGATGCTCGAAGAGCTCCACGTTGGGCAGCTAGTGTGGCCTCTAGAGCCCCGCCGCGGTGGTCTAGTGGCTAAGGTACTCGGCTGCTGACCCGCAGGTCGCGGGTTCGATTCCCGGCTGCGGCGGCTGCATTTCCGATGGAGGCGGAAATGTTGTAGGCCCGTGTGCTCAGATTTGGGTGCACGTTAAAGAACCCCAGGTGGTCAAAATTTCCGGAGCCCTCCACTACGGCGTCTCTCATAATCATATGGTGGTTTTGGGACGTTAAAACCCCACAAATCAATCAGTGTGGCCTCTAGAATCGGCGAGCACCAGGCTCTTGGAGTGAACGGACACAGCAGACGCGGTCGGTACAAACCAAACAAGAACACACATTCATTTAACAACTTTAGAACGACAATATCATCAGCCGAATTATTATAACATAAATCGTGAACAACAGGCTAGGACATCCTTACACAATATTACCATAATGTCAGAGCAGGCGTTCGACAAGGCTAGTACGGTAGGCAGCCTTCACGGAATGCAAGACTCCTATGTCAATCGGCTGCAGTAACGAGGTCGCATTTGGCAGAAAGTAGGTCAGCTCAATTGCTTCCATCTGGGGCGGCTTCATGTGGCTGGAGCAGTTGTCCAGAAAAAGTAGCACCTTCCTCTTCTGCTTTATCATCTCCCGGTCGAACTGCAATAGCCAGGCGTTCCACAAGTCATCCATGCCTTTGTATTAGCAGTCCCCTCAACTGGCATGTTCTTTACCTGCCGCAAGGCTGCTTGGCTTTCCCAATCACCAACAGTTTTTTCTTCTCGGTGCCGATCATGTTACAACAAAATAACACGGACAAATGCTCCTTGGAGCGCTTACTATCGTCACAGTGACTGCCGGAAACCGTGTAGGTCCTATTCGGCTTGGCCTTATAAAACCACTTTCATCTGCATTGAATACGTCCTTCTCACTGTTTCAGCGCTGGTAGCTCGTTGGTTTGCCATTCGGTGACGCCGTCGACACTCGCGCTGGTGCGGTCACCGCAAACTTACATGAATGTGACGCCGTGCCTTGCCTTGAATTGCTCCAACCATCCGTCGCTGAAAGGGACGCCGTCGTGTCTGAGGACCACAGCTAGCTGTTCGGCCCGCTTCCTCAGTAAGAATCCGTTCACCGGAATATTGCGACATCGGGCATCACGCAGCCACTCGAGTAGTGCAGATTCAACATCGGGCTACGTCGCCTCGTGGAGCCTGAAGCGCTCGGGATTAATTTCCCCCAACACTTGCTTGCCAGCAATACTCTTATTATTCACAATTGAGCCCACGGTCTGCTTGGACAGCCCCATTGTTTTTGTGATGCCTGCCTGTTTCTCCCCACGCGCAACCGCGTTCACTATCTTGAGCTTGTCATTCAGCAAAATTTGCTTCCGCTTTCTGGAGGCCATTACGTCTAAATGAGCGAATAGACGGAACAGTCAAGCACAGGAACACGACAAAATGGCGTCAACTAGGTACGTCCATGCATAACGTCGCCAATGTGTTCCCAGACTGGCTTGGCTTGGCCGAAAGCCACTAATGTGGCCAGCTGCAATTTAAAATTACTGTGGCTTTAGAAGGTGGCGTGGTAAAATCTGTTATCAGCCTGTGTCAACGTGGCAGAAGTCCACAATATGCTCACAATTTCGAAAAAAAAAAATGCCGCTAATTTCGTCCACTGTAACCGATAGTCCATTTTATCGCAGTCTGTCAAAAGCGAACTTCGCTCCATTAATTTTATACACAGACCAAACTGAGGCTGAATAATGGTCCTTTGTGTCCGAAAGTCTGTTGTACCCCGGTCCGTTATAGTGAGCATAGACTGTATTCACTTAGTCTGAAATGTAGGTTTGTGCAGCGAAAATTGAATTTGTTAGAGAGCAGTCCTTGAACGGATTGACTTTTTTTCTTTCAGCAGAATTATCAACGTCCATTCAAGAATATGCCTCCACGATTTCTCAAGAAGGCTGAGATGCAACGTCAGCAGCAGTTACGTCAGCAGCAACAGCAGCAGCAGCAGCCGCAGTCTCAGCAGCAGCAACAACAGCAACAGCAGCCACAGCAGCCTCAGCCACAGCAAACAAGTGGTGGTCTGGCTCCGCCGCAGACTCCCTCAAGCCTTGGAAGCATGGGTGGGGTGAGCTATGACCCTCGTTGGGTGGCCATGGGAGCAGGAGGGCCCTACCTTGGTCAGCTGGGCATGGGTCCTTTGAAAGCTCTTGGTGGCCAACGTCCTCCTGAGCCAGAGGGAGGCACTTCCTACCCCAGTGCTGACGATCGTCCCTATGAGTCTCGGGAAGCTCGGCCATTGGAGTGTTGGCCTCCTGGAGCTGGACGTCCTGCTCCGCCACAGGCAGACCGACCGGCACAGGCACTGGCTCCCCCCATGGCACCGCCACATGTGTCACCAGGTGAGGTTGCATAGCATTGCTCGCAGTAGTTCAAAGTATGGCAGCCCATTTGTGGTTGGTTCAAATGTGGTATTCAGAGGCATGGATTTAGAATAAAGTTTTGTTGTTTATGGGGGCCCATTTGGAACTTCTTGGATATTTCATTCTGAGGTTTTGTGGTGGGTATCGTTAGTGAATCTAAGTGACATTCTTAATGATGGAAATGTATGATCGGGGCCGAGTCTTCAAATTGGAAAGTTTTACAGTGTAATCGCTGTTATCCATTCCCATTTTTTTTTTGACTGCCAGAGTTTTATGACTGCAGTTGTTACGCAAGCAGTTGAGTCTTAACAAACTTGATATGTGCTGCAAAAGTTCAAATGCATGAGGAAATGCTTCAAAACTACCGTTTCATATGCATGTAAAACTGGGAATGCCAGTGTTGGTGCATGAAAAGTGCTGTTCTTTGTGTGAAGAGGGAGAAGTGATCCTTCCAATTACTCAACTGTCATAGCTCATTTAGCTCATGAACTGTCTTAGCTCAACCGTCTTGGCTCACCTGTTTAGCACATCTTTGTTTTTCGTTTGTATATTTTTCTGTGTTTGCTTTCATTTGGTATTTCGTTCTTAAGATAGTTGATGGATGGGCTGCTTTCTTTTGTATTGTGCGTTAGGTAAGGTACAATAGTCAGTTCTGTAGTGTACATGTATCCCGCAGGTGTATGGCCTCTAGCATGGGTTCGGTCTTAGCAAGCAGCAGGGCCACATTCACCATTGCCTCGCGTGATTAACGCCGCCGTACATGTGCGTTTGGACAGCCAAGGCGCTGAGCGCAGCGCGGCGAGTACACAGTACTGTTCCCAAACAAGTCGCAACACTTTATTGCCTGTGGCAACAGCAAAAACTCAGCACAGTGCCCGCTGCAAAAGGCAGCTAGAAAGCAAGCGAGGCTTATTCATGCCACGGGCGAAAGTACAGTAGGCTCTCTGTAAATGAAACCTGAAAGGACCGGGAAAATGTGTTGTATTTAATAGGAGTTCCGTTTACTGAGAGGTGAACATGGGCGCAGAATACAAGCCCGAAACCAAGCATTGCAGAGGCAGTAGTTCCGTTTAAGCAGTAGTTCTGTTTAACAGATTTCCATTTACTGAGAGTCTACTGTACAACACAAAGGGTGCCGTGAGCACGTACGTCTTGCAGTGACACGTATCCCGAAGGAGTACGGCCACCAGCGTGGGTCCGGTCATAGCGAGCCGCAGGGCACGCTTTAACCGTCGCCGTGGCGAGAACACGATACTGCTCAAAGTCGCAACACTTTATTGTGGCAACACCAAGCGCAGTACAGCTCGTTGCAAAGGCGCGGCGGGAAAGCAAATAGGCTTATCCACGGCACAGGCATAAAAGTACTACACAGGGTGCCACGTGCACGTCTCCGTGGTAAAGGTAATCCACGGAGGCACGGGGACCAAGACCCGGTTGCTCGAGCGAGGGCAAAGGCGCTCGCGTTGGCTTCGGAGGGAGATGGGTCGGCGCAGCCTGGCCACGCACTAGGACACCGTACCACCCTTCGGCCAAGTGTTCGCAGAGGGGCAACAAAAAGTGCGCATTCGCCTCGGGCGCGAGGCGCTGTCAGCGAAGTCCGACGAGCGCCCAGCGACGGGTGTCGACGGATGGAAAAGATTGCGTGGCTGACAGTATGCTGTCCCGGAGAGTATCTGCCCACTTCTGACGCAGCACGTGAAAACCTCTTGGGAGACTCCGCGCGTGGCTCCACAGTCCTCATCCGCTACCGGGTGAGGGGGTTAAACGTCACTCCGTTCTCCCAGCGCAGCAGACGGCAGAGGAGAGGAGACATGTCGGACATGAGAACGGCGTTCGCTGCAGGTGCAAGGCACCGTTGGCGAGTGCGAATAAGCTCCAAGGAGTGAAGGAGATGACGGACGAAAAAGAAAAGGTTGTGCTCACCCCTTTGCTGTCCAGAGAGTTTTTCATGTCTCCCGCCACGCGTGCGCGAGACGTCTCGGGAGATCGAGTGCGGCGCCTCCATCGACATCGGCTGCTGGGTGGCAGGGGTTAAGGGGAGATGAGAGTCGAAAAATCGCGTCTTTAGCGAAATTTCTCGTATTTCTGATTTTTATAGCATTGTAATCTTCAAACCTTCTTCTTTCATCTGTGAAAATTTCAAAACTAAATTTGAACCGCAAAATGCAAAAAAATGTGTATGAAGGCATCGCGGTGGCTCAAACTTTCGTGAATTTGCGCCGATATTGGCCATCTTTGACTGCGCGCTGCTCCCCGTCGCAGTGCCGCCCACCATCGCGATCGGTTGGGAAAGTTGCGTCCGGCCTTCTTCTTACAGCTCCGACGACCGCCAGTTTTGGACGTGGGCAAAAAAAATAAAAAACGAGGCCTTTTTATCAGGTGGTTTGAGCGGTTTGAAACGCGCGGCACCATAAGCCGCATCGCCATTGGCTACAGAGTCATTGTCAGCTGTGTTGGTGGCGGCCATCGGCATTTGGTCCGTCTGCTTTTCTGCGCGTCTACGCATATGTGGCCAAGACACTTGGCACCGCGCTACGGAAGCTGCATGTGCCATTACCACGAGGGCAGAAAATGAAAGAGCCAGTCATTCAGAAGCTCCAAACATATTATCAGGTTGCCATAACAAGCAACAGGGGGAGTGTACGGGATATGTACACTGCAGTATGGGCTTCGTACTTCCACTCATGCTCTACTGACAATGCTGGCAGCCACAAGTTTTGCCCTGCAGGAACAGAGTCGTGGTGCAAATATCAACGCGCTGAAGCACTTGGTAAACCTGCACCACGCCACACACCTCTCCTGACAAAAGCACAGGGATTGGCTGTTTTGCCCATTTGTAAGTGGCTAACGGATGAGAAGCTCCTTGCTCGATGCATCAAAGGGAAAACCCAGAACACATAGGAATCCCTGAACAGCAAAATTTGGCTACTTTGCCCCAAGACTAAGTTTGTCTCCCGAACGGTTGTCGAAAGTCTTCTCCAGCGGAAGTCTTCTCCTCCGTGAGTGAGCGGAACTGCCACCATCACTTTCTTCAAAATCAACACGAGGGCCATGAAAAGAATACAGATAATAGGCAAAGGTGTTATTCCCCTTTCAGACTTTTGTGCGGCTATGAACCTTTCACACTGAAGCCTACACCATAAGATGTTTCAGGGACACCTAAGAAGTTTCGTGGAAGCGTGTGGAAGCGTGCGAAAGCACGGTGACTGAAAGTGAAGCTGCTACTGTGGCAGTGATAAAAGATCTGTATTCAGATTTTTAGAGGCAAAGCTCCTTGAAGCGGCACCCGTTCGACCCTCGTTGTAGTCGTAGTGCATAACCAGTCTTGCGCTTTGACCTGCTAGGTGGTGCCGGTGGGAGATTTCTCCTGTGCGTTGTTGAACAATAAAAAAATTCGCAGCGTGCGCGTTACCTAAAGGCCGAATTCTCCTGTCTCTCATTCCCAATTAGCAGCCATTGGCTTGAACATTGAGCACTATCCGACAAGAAAGGGTTGCTAGGTTATACTCGCTGGGCGTAACCTCCTTTGTTTTATAAAGGTTTATCGAGCGTTGGGCTGCAGTGCCATGAATACAGTGAACTAGTATATAGTATGAACTCGAGGTAGTTAAAGGTGGGAAGTAGACAAGAAGCGCAAGCCGTAAGAAAGTGTGCGTGTGCCACTTCTCGTTTAGTCCTTGGATTATCCGCTGGATGGTGGTACTTCTAAATGCGGAATATTTGATGAAAAGATGCGAGATGGTGGTACTTAGAATGTTGACTAGATGGACTCCGGACACACAGACAGATGCATGGACGGACGCATGAATGGCTACACGGACGGATGGATGCAGGGACGGACGTGTGGACGCACGAACAGATGCACGCATGTACGGACAGATGGATGCATGGACAGTCACACAGACGGACGCATACATGATGAAAAGATGCGAGATGGTGGTACTTGGAGTGTTGACTAGATGGACAAACGGACACACAGACAGATACATGGACGGATGCACGGATGGCTGCACGGATGGATGGATGCATGGACGCACGCAGGGGTGGATGCGTGGACGGGCGCACAAATGGACTTGCGGACGCACGGATGGTCACACAGATGGATGCATGGACAAACGGAAGCAAGAACGAATGGACGAACGGATGCTTCGCCCCACTCTCCATCATTCGCCCCGTGGATATGCTGCCATTTTTTTTTTTGAACCCCATATGGAACAGCGATATTGTTTCATGGGTCTTGGATGATGCAAGGTCGGAGCTCACACATTGGTTTGGGCTGCATCATTAAACTCTACACAGGCCTTGTCATTGACCTTTTTGTTTATTCGAACTTTTGCCTCTGCTGTGTCCTTCGACTGCAGCCACAAGATGAAGGGTACACAGACTGGCTGACAACCCACGAGGGCCAACGAAACATTGAGTGCAACTCTGGTCGCTTGGAAGTTGAGGCTGCGCCGGCCATGTTTCAAAGGTCTTTAGCCAAGCATGGTTTCCTCTACACTAGTGTGCTCTTGGATGGAGACAGCTGCACTTCCCCATGCCTTGCGTGAAGCGGAGGTGTACGGTTTTATTCAAATAGACAAGGACTGCATCAACCACGTCCACAAGCGAATGGGTGCAGCTTTACGGTACCTTGCCGACAAAAAGAAGGCTCAAGGTCAGTCTCTTGAGGGAAGAGGAAAGCTGACACAAGAAAAAAAAAATCAAGAAGAATGCTAATTATTATGGGTATGCCAGTGATGGAAGTGCTGCTCCAATTGCTCCAAACTGCTCCAAAAGAGAAATGCTGCTCCATGCTGCTCCAAAGTGCAATATTTGCTAGTAACTGCTCCAAACCTGCTCCCAAACGGTGTTTGCAAACTAAAAAGAATGAAGTTAAACCATGGGACCATCCCGTGAGCTTAAGTTAAACCAAAACCAAGCTGTATACACACTATCATCGTAGTATGCAACTCAGTGGCGTAAATCCTGAAAAATTG